AAGATCTCGTGCTTCTTTTTCACTTTCTGTTGGCAAAAACCCCAGGAGAAGATGGGAGATTCTGGGAGGAGATGATTATGCTGGGTGAGTCAACTGAGCTCCCAGCTGCCGATTTTAGTTCCTGTGCTTTTCTGTAACAGGAGCAGTTTCGGGAAGGTGGGGGAGGGTGGGGAGTGAGGGTTTGTGGAGAGGGACAAGAGGCAGGTGTGGAGGGTGGATGTTTTTGGCACCCCAGGGTGGAGAAGGCCTTAGGATGAGCACATTGGTTCAGGCAGGAAGTACTAAAGCCAAGCCCTCTGTGTGGCAAACGGGTATCTCCTACAGATTTGTATACAAGTCATTGTCACTCCCCCAAATAGGTAACACTCAGAATGGCTTGGGTTGCGTTGCATGGTCTGCAGGGGGACATGGCGTTTTTACTAGCAAAGCAGTGGTGGGACTGAATGACGAGAGGCGGGGGAGAACCCTTTTCAATGGGAGGGCCTGTTGTTCTGGTACAGGCAGCAGGAAGTTTGGAGGGGAGGGTTCCCCTCTGTGATGAAAGGAGGGCTCAGGATGGGCTGAGAGGATGGCCAGGGCCCCTGCTGGTCCCCGCTCTGCCTGGATTTCAGATCTGTCTCTAGTTCCCCTTGGTGACCACCCTCCCCTTGGGCTCTGTGTTAGGGGAACTCCATCTCCGTCGGTGTCATCCATCCATTGGACGAGACTCTGTGGCCTACTGCCCCGCTTGGATGTCTGCAGGGCACATGGACGTTATGTGCGGGACTGTGATGAAGACACCCTGACGTGTTTTCGTGTTTGCTCACTCAGCCATGCTCTGCTTACTCCCTCAGCGCCCTGCTGAATGCCTCGGCTGTGGCACAAGTGGTCCCCGCTCCCAAGGCCCTCCCTTTGTAGTTTGGTGGAAAGGGTAGACAGTAACCTGGAACCAACCAACTTCGGGGGTGACAGATGCCTTGAAAAAGGGAACAGGTCTCGTGGGAAGAGCTTTGGGTCTTGCCTCCTCTACTCTTGTCTTCCCCATGAGAAATGAAGGCCGCGATCTGGGAGGATCCGAAAGTTGGCCTTCTGTTACTCCGTAAGTATTTTCACATGGGGCTGCGAGGTGCCAGGCACTGCTGGGCACCAAGTACATATGATGGTGAATGAGGCACTGTCCCTGACCTTTCAGAGCTGAGGGAGTTAAGGCGTGGGGACACAGAGCAGAAAGAGATCAACAGAAAAAGTGCTGGGAGAGTCCAGAGAAGGAGCAGTGACTCCCAGCTCAGGTGTTCTGAGAACTGAAGGATTGGAGATAAACAAGGGATGGAGGGTTTACTTGCCTGTATCCCTTGAAAGAAGGCCTTGTATGATCAGTGCAGCCCTTACTTGGAGTGTGTGCGTGTCTGTCCTTGTAGCCCTTCATCCACACTTCTAGTCCAGTCCTTCCATGGCATCCAGAGTGCTAGAGCTGCCTAACTCTGTAGAGTGACCCTCTTCATTACACACCACACGGCTTCCCAGTAGCTTGTGCTGGGGTGAGCCAACAGCGTAGCTGGGTGTAGAGGCCCAGAATCCATAAAACTATTAGGTAAAGAACATGAGGCTAGAGGAGGGCCCAGGCCCCTCAACTCCACTCCAGGCCCTGGCTCCCCACAGTCCTCAGTAAAGGGAGTCAGACCTTGACGCTGCAGCCTGCCTTCTGCCTACCCCCACCACCCCATCCTCCAGAGCCCTGGGCTGCTGGCAGGCTGGCTCTCCTGATATGGAGGAACTTGTTGGTCTCCATGGTTACAGTAACCCACTGGTACAGGAGGAGCCAAACGGAGTGCAAGGCTGGCAGTGTGCGCTTCTCCAGCCCTTGGCACCATGTGGTACTAGTATGTCGGCTGCTTCTCTGCCCTTTGCTGGGAGGAAAGAGTTAAGGACTGGCCAGGAAGGGAAGGGTCCAGGCAAGACCTCTTCACCCTCCTTTGGGCTACCACGGGGCAGAGGTGTGGCTGCCTCCCCATTCACCCACTCCTCTCGGCAGAAATGCTTTTCTTTTAGGACGCGGGGTCTTGGCCTAGCAGCCCCACCATGGCCGACATTTGGCTTGTCCTTGTTTCAGAAGGAATACCAGGGTAGTGGGCACCAGCCTAGTGCCACCACTACTTGGAGTCAAATGCTTAGCGATTACAGCTCTTTTCAGGGCCTGGAGGACCCCTTGAGAGTGGGGAGGCAAATTCCTTACCTAAACTTGTGAAGGGAAGTCATGTCATAGAAAACAAGATCAAGTGTGTTCCGTGTCAAGGCACTATATATGCTGGGTGCTGACAAGGGTTTTCTCGTTTAATCCTTACACTAATCCTGTGGAATGGGTACAGTTACTGTGAGGAAGCTGAGACTTAGAGAAGTCAATTAGCTTGCTGTCGCTCACTCAGCTGATAGATACATAGCTGAGCCGGGGCTCAAACCCAGGTCTGCCTGGCTGCAGAGCCTGGCTGTACTGCCCTGCCCTGCCCCTCAGGCAAGCAGGCCATCTTGAGCCTTCCAGACAGTTACCCTCCTTTTAAGTTTCCAGCTGGCAGGAATCAGATCTCTCTGAATTTTGCAGCTAGCCCTGGCTCCCGAGGTAGGGCCTCAACAAAGATTTGATGAGTCAGCAACGGTAGGTAGGGCCTGAGAGAGAGAACCCAGCCCGGGGGCAGATTCCCAGGGCTCAAGTGGTACTGGGGCCCTGAGCCCCAGTTGCTTGGTAGACTCCACCGTGTGTCAAAAGGAACCAGTGTTTGAAGGGCTCTGAAGACAGGAGGTTTGTGGGGAGCTCCTTGTGTGTGGCTCCCACGTGTGATGGGGGTGAGCCGGAGGTGCCCTGTGCTCTGTCCCTCTCCAGTCTGCTCCTGTTTGCTCATCTTCCGAGGCAGGCTCTGGTCTCTGCCGAGCTATTCCGAGGCCTGCGGGCTCCCCTCTTGGCCCCGGCTGCAGTGCTGGTCTCCCTGCCCTGGGACGAGGTTGCAGTCTGGAGAGTCCAAGGGCAGTCCCCACCAAGGGCTTGTTGGCAGCAACAGGGACAGGAAGCCACCTTGTTTTTGGCTTTGTGCCTAAGCTGTGGGCTCTGTTCATCTGCTTTGTCAGGGAGACACCTAACACGGCGGAAAAGGGAGCAGGCCTTAGACTGCTTTCTCCAGTCTCCCCATCTCTTCCCGCAGCAGAAGGCAGTGGGGCTATTCCCAAATTGGAGCCATCGCAGGTCATTTTGGGGTGGGAGGGGGCTGCACCCCGCCGCTCTGCTGGCTTGTGCTCGGCACAGCTTCACGACCCTTGCCTTCCCAGGCTGCTCTTCTGGCTTATTGGCTCTTAGCAGTTGAGGGTGACAGTTGCTCAGAAGTGAAACTTCTCATCCACCAGGAAGACCCTGGATGCAGACAAAGAGCCGAAAAATTGTGACTTGCACAGCCAGGTGACTTTCAGTCAAAGTCCTTCCTGTCTATCTGAGCCTCTCTGTGTGAGGTCAGGGTGGGTCCTTCCTCCGTTTGCAGAACCCGGGGCACTGAAAGCCTGAAGCTTGTTGGTTCTGCTCTGGGCCCTGACCTGCTGGGAGTGAAGCAGCAGCTCCACCTAGGCAGGCCTGAACCCACCTTCCAGAGTCCAGCAACCTATTCCACTGAGATCAGAGTCTTACCCCTTTGGGGCAGCTTTGGAGGAGGAGGAGCTGCTGTGGGACCACCTGGGTAAGGCCCTTCAAACAGCCCCACCACTGGTCGTAACTGAACATTGTCATGCTGTTGTGCCCAGCACCTTGGCTACGTCTTCACATCTTCCTCCTCCTTGTAGGCTGTGGAGGAGAGCCGAGGGCTTGTCTTCTTTTGGGGGACAGGTGGTGAGAAGCCAGTGAGGGTACCAGAGGAATAGCTGAGCACTGGACTGAGCCAAAGGCCTGGCCTCCAGTCTGGCTCTGCGTGTAGGGCTGTGGGACTCTGAGCTTCAAGTTTTCATCTGTGAAGTGGGGGGTGATACATACCCCAGGTCTGTGTTAAAATGAAGAGTGTGAGTGCCGGGCATTTGGTGGCATCGGGAGCATTGACCACAACCAGCTCAGAAGGAAAGGCAGACATTTCCTGGCTGCCCTGAGTAGCGTGGTCTGTCTGCCAGGCGCATGGGCTTAGGTTCTGTGAGGCACAGAGGCAGCATGGCCCTTTCCTGGGGGCTTATAGCCACCACCAACGGGAGAGCTTTAAAGAATAACTAAGGGAAGAAGCTTGGCTTGGGGTCCTGGCTGAGTGAGAGAGATCCGAGACAAAGTAGAGGTGGTGACCAGACAGGTGAGGGTCCGTGATTGAGGGAGAGGCTTCTGATGGCAGAGAGAAACAGTCCCGCAGGGGCTGTGGTGGAGGAAGGTGTGAGGAATGGCTGCCCTGCTGTCCCTACACCCTCCATGCTCCTAAAGGAGGGAGTGTTGTTGGGGGTGGGGGACCGGAGACTTGGAGGTGGGCAGGATCCTGGGGGTGGACTCCCAGAATCGAGCTGGAAGGGGCTTGGTCAGGACGGGTGGCTTTTTTCCTGGTCTGTGGGCACCATTTAGGATCAAACCCCTCATTTTGTATGTGACAGAGGTTCTTGACCTGGAATCCCTAGATCTCGAAGGGGCCCCAGAGGGCCCTGGGTGGCGTGTGTGTAAGTGGCAGAAGCACTCCCTGAGGGAGACACTGTAGGAAGTGGGGAGCCCGTCTGCCCCTGCTGGTTTGCTGGTTTCAGCTTAACTCCCCCCGCCCCTTTCTTGAGTGAGGGGCTTGCTGGTCTGGGCAAGACCACCATGCATCTCTGGGTCACCAGAGGTGATCCTCCCGGCTCTGCCTGAGCCCTTGGTAAAATGTCCTGTCCCTGCCAGCCTCCGCCTGCCCCAGGTGAGATAAGAACTTTATGACAGCCCAGGTGGGACTGAGCCTCCTCACCTCTTGCCAGCTGCTACCCAGTGAGGTACCTTGGGGAGGGTGGGGCAGCCCACTTCCGGGGAGGGGGTGGGGAGACGAGAGAAGGAAGTTGCTCTGAACCCGCCTCTTTCTCTCTGGCTCCCTTCCTTCCTGTTCCCCTCCTACCCCCTTCCTCCCACCTTGCTCCCAGTGTGGTGTCCTGGGACCGCTCGCACTCTGGCCACCAAGCCCTTGCCCGCGAGGAGAAGCTGTGGGGCTTTGTCCCGTTGCTCTCCTTGCCAAACCCAGTCTCTCTGTTAGTGGTGGTTTCGGTTGCGACATAGCCCAGGTTCCCAGGCAGGAGCCGTGCGGCCTGGCTGCTTTGCTACTTTTCAGCGAGGAGGTGGTAGAAGGAAGGTGTTGCCTGCTTCGGCTGAGTAAGGGTGGCTGGCTGGGCCGGCAGCCCCCGCCCTGGGCCTGGCCCTTCCCGGCCTCTGTACTTTGCCCTCGCTGCCTGACAGGTTCTGCTAAGGCTCTACTGAATGGAAGGCGCTGGTAGTCCTTGCCCCTTTCTCCAGCCGGGTATGTTTTCCCCTTTTTGACTCGGATTGTCCCCTGCACGCTCTGCCTCCCCCTTCAAGTGCGGGATCTTTAAGGCATTGCCGAATGGAGCCAGGCAGTAGCATGCCGCAGCACGATTCAGGGGCTGGGTTTCCAGTGCCGAAGAGGCATTGACTGGGAAAGGAAGTGGGGCAGATACCAGGAGCCGCTCCGCACACAGCAGATCCGTTGACTCTACATGACAGACAGGGACTGGTTGGTGGCAGGCAGAGGCCCGGGAGGCAGGTTGTGACCAGTGAGGGCTCTGGGGCTACAATGAGGGGACCTGGAACCGGCCCCTGGGACTAGTGCCAAGGGACACTTTTCCCCCTTGGCTCCACAGCGGCCAGGCTTACTCTGCTGCAGGCCAGGGAGTGCCTGCCTACGATTCCTCCCAGTGTGGCCCCTTCCCAGCCCTGGGGAGGCTTGAGGCCTACCTGAGCGTAGAAGCCCCAAGTGTGAGCTTTTTCGGGGAGAACGGTGGGAAGGAGCCTCCAGCATTAGGGAAGGGGCCCTGCCTACCTGAGTCAGCACGGGGCTCATGGGGTGGAGGCTGTCTTCCGGGCAGGCCTGGCAACACGTCTCGGCCAGCCGAGCTCTGAGCTCCTGAGCGGAAGGGCTGGTGGAACCTACTGGATACAAGACTCTGTCCCTTTTATCCTTTATGTCCTGCATTCGCTCCTGGTCTCTGCTGAGGACCTCAGAGCTGCTCAGGCCCTGCTTCTGAATCCAGCCTGCTTGGTAACTTGCTTGGTTTGCCATCTGTTCCAAATAACTGCCTTACACGGTGACCTTGATCCCCTTATTCTTTCTGAAGGCTACCCGAGAGCCATGAGGTCTACTTTCCACAGACTCCCGGAGACCTCCTCTGTGGCCTGCCTGGGGCTTGATGCTGGCCAGGGTTTTGGGAATGTCTGCTGTTTGCCACCCTGTACTTCTGTGATCGGGTGGGATAGAGGTGGAGGGGAGAGTGTGATGTTAGCCAGGTCCTGGTTAGTTGGTCCGGAAGGGCAGCTGGTCATTAGACTCCCACCCTGTTGACCGAGTGTGCCTAACCAGAACCACCTAAGGGGACTCTCTGGATCGGTGACCCCGCCTCCTTACCCCACTTCACTCCTCAGGGAGCAGCTAGGTGAAGACGTTGCCAGCCTTGGGGCTGTGGCCCAAGAAACATTTTCTATTGAAGACTTTTCCTTTCTTTCCTCTCTCCAGGTGGGCTCTCCTCCTCACCCTGACCCTCACAGAAGAGGCAGTGGGCTGGTGAGGAAGTTCTTAGTGCATTGAATCTTTTTTCTTCTTTAAGATTACTATTTTTTTTTTCCTTTGTGATTTGGGCGAAAGTTTACAAAGCAGATTCACTTTCCATACAGCAGCTCACATACACTTTGTCCCATGACATTGACTACAATTTACCACAGTGCAACAGCTCCCGTCCCCCTTCCTCCCCATAGTCACCTCTTCCCTGTGTCCTTCTTTCCCATGCACTCCTGCCTCCCCCCCTCCCCCCCAGCTATCTTCCTGTGCATACGCAGCCCTTCTATTCTCCCGTGATTGTTCTCTCCAGGGAGTGTAAATGTTCACCTCATATGCCTTTTGTTTGCCTGGAAGCCACAGGTGTGGGTTCAGTTACAGACCTGAAGGGCATCTAGGGCCCACTGTCTTGGAGTTCCATTGGGCTCTATCAAACTAGCAAAGCTGGTCCCTTTTTTTTTCCAAATTATTTTGAGTTTTGTTCCATATTGTTCTCCTTCTCTATCCAGGATCTCCTACAGAGATCCCCCTCTGAGTGGTTGACAGTGGTAGCCGGGCACCATCTAGTTCTTCTGGTCTCATAGTCATATAGACTGAGGATTGCATGGTGTACCAGTTGCTAGGACTAATTGTTTCCGTGAATCTTTGATTTTCTTCATTCTTCTTTGCTCTGGACAAGGAGAGACCCATCGTTGCATCTAGATGGCTGCTTGCAAGCTTTTAAGATCCCAGTCACTACTCACCAAAGTAGGATGTGGAACAATGTTTTTGTGTAGTATGTTATGCCAATTGAGCTTGATGTCCCCTGAGACTATGGTCCTGAGCCCACAGGTCCAACTACTCGCTCCCTCTGGGTAGCTGGCTGTGGCTACCCAGAAGTGACTACAATCTTGTCCGTTGTCAGCTCTACTGTATACCTGAGAATTCTTACGTAACATAGCAATAGACTTGTAGAAACACTCTCTGCCAACCCTATACGTGGTCTTGGGCACACTCCCCACCCCTGCATAGGCACATCTAATAGTTCAGCCTGTCTACCCGTCTATCCACCTGCATATCTGTGTTTGCTTTCCCTGACAGTGCAGTACTGTATGTGCAGAAGGGTTCATCTTTGTTGTCTGTACCTCCCATGTACCTCTGTCTCTTCCTTTTCCTCAATTCTCAATGCATGGAGTCTTGAGAGTCGCACCGTTCAGTCATAGAGGGGAATTGGGTCAGGGGAATTGGCACTCCGGTGCGCTCTGCTCCTCCAGGCCCCGAGCAAGCTCAGTGCAGCCGAGTCAGATCCGACTCACAGCGACCCCTCCTTGGGTTTCCGAGATGGTGGTATCTCTATGGAAGTAGATTGCCCATTCTTCTTTTGAAGGAGCAGCTAGTGAGTTTGAACGGCCAGCCTTCTGGTTAGTTAGCAGATGCCTTAGGCGTAATAGTCCTTTTACTGTCCTCAGCCCCCAGGGTGGGACCAGCCCACCACAGCTGCCCTGTCTGTCCCTGGCTCTCCTCCTTCCACTTTCTGAAGAGGGGAGTGCTGGTGTCGGCCAGCCCAGAGGCCTGTGGGCAGCTGCTCGGCTCGGCTGCTCCCTGAGGAAGGCCCCAGAGCATCCTTACGTTGACCTCCATCTGGGCTGCAGCTGGCTTAGGGGGGTTCGACCTAAGTCTGGAAAGGTGTTCACAGCTGGCCTTCTGCTTTGGCTGTATTTGGGGACTAGAAATAATAGCAATTTTTCCAACCTCAGTCATTTTATTGAGCATTGGATTAAGCATTTTACATGTGTTCTCTTATGTAAAGTAAGGAATGTTTTTCCATCACTTTGCAAATAAGGAAACTACAGCATAGAGAGATTACATGTGTTGCCAGAACTGCTGCTGAGGGAGCCAGGACTTGAACCTAGTTCTGTTGAACTACAGATCTCTTCATACCCTCTAGGCTATCCGCTGGCACAGATGTGTGGAACACCCACACTGGTCATCTTTTGTTTACTCCCCTTAATTTTTATTGTGATTTGGATGAAAGTTTACAGAGCAAATTCCTTTTCCATACAGCAGTTCATACACATTTTGTTTCATGACACTGACTGCAATTCTTCACAATGTAACAGAACTCTTCCTACCTCTTCCCTGTAGTTACCTCTTCCCTGAGCCCACCCTGTGTCCTTCTTTCCTATGCGTTCCTGCCCCGGAGCAATCTTCCTGTGCCAATACTGCCCTGTTCTCTCATGAATGAGATCGTTCTAAGGAGTGTATCTCCCTGATGTAAATGTTAACCCTGTATGCCTGTCGGTTGTTTGGCTGGAAGCCACAGGAGTGAGTTCAATTCCAGGCCTGAAAATGGTAACTAGGGGCCGTGGTCTTGGGGGTCTGACTGGGCTCTGTCAGACTAGTAAACCTGGTCTTTTTGGATGATTTTGAGTTCTGTTGCACATTGTTCTCCCACTCTATCCAGGATCTCCTGTTACCGCTCCCTTTCTGAGTGGTTGACACACCCTGGTCATCTTTTGGGTGGTTTCCTTCCCTCTTTATAATAATGTCACCTTCCTCTGAGGGGTGATGCCGATAATAATGAAGTTAAGGTGTGACACGTAAGTACACATTCAGAGTGTGAACCCTAGCAGTTTGTCTTCACCACCGCCTCTCTACTGTGGTGAGGGTGAATGACGTGGCGCTTCCGTGGTGGTTGGTGTGTCGTCAAGTCCAGTGTGTAGCTGAGTCTTGCGTGGAACGCTATACTGCCGTGCCACACAGAGCCAGCCCCCAGAGCCAGAAGTACTAAGAGGGATGGTAGAGCTCAGGATGGGCAACATAGTGCCCAGATTTGGCTGCAGAGGGGCACAGGGTTCAGATCTTCAGGTAGATACTAAATCCCTGTTCTTGGAAGGATTGGATGCCAAGGTCTGGAGACGGCCAGCCTCCTGCTGTGTCTGGGTTTTCTGCTCTGCACTAACCCAAGGCCTAGCCTCAGCAAAGAGGGAGCGGCAGGAAGCTTTTCCACGCATCCTCCTCTTGTGGCAGTAGAGGAAGGATGTTTCCTCTCCGTGGTCACTTAGATGGACGTGTAGGTAGGAGGCAGCCCGATGGTACCTTCAGGGAGGATGGGCTCAGAGGAGGCAGGCCACGGATGCCGGCCTTCAGGACCTGCTGGGTCGGGTGTGGGGTGCTCTTTAGTAGGGGCCTAGAAATGCCCTACTACCCAAGATGTGTGGACCCTAGTGTTCCTTTTGGAGGGAAAAAGACAGGCCTTGGAGTCTGTAACTTGTCTAGTGAAGGGCTTGAGAACCAGTCAGGCTTGTGTGGAGAAGGGGGAAGAAAGTTGTGGCCTGGGATGGACAGCAAAGGATTTGGAGAGAGATTTCAAGGCACCATGAAGGCTGGTGAGGACTTGGAAAAGAGAGAAGACTCTTGAAGGGCCAAGGAAGCTGAAAGCGACTCTTCTGGGATTTCAGGAACCTTCATAGGTCTGCCCCATGTGTTTCTGGGAGCTGGGTCATACAGTTCACCAAAAACCAGCCAGTAGCTGCTATGCAAAGAGAAGGGAGGAATTCCTGTCTGAGTGTTGTTTGCAGCATTATTCCCAGTGGCCAAAGGTGGAAACCAGCCAGGTGTCCATCAGCAGATGGATAAACTCAATGTACATGCCTACAATTGCTCAGTCATAAAAAGAAATGAAGTTCTGCCACAGGGGTGAACCTTGAAAACATTATGTTAAGTGAGTAAGTCAGATGCAAAAAGACAAA